TTTTGCTACGAGAGTACTCCGTACTGCTGCAGTGCTGCCATAGTTCTGGAAGACTCGAGATTATCGTCAATGCTGGGGAATGGCGTTAGCAACCGTCGCTTTAAGCAGATTACGACCGCTGCTAACATGTCTCTACTACGGGAACCAACATGTACAGGAAAGCCACCGTATCCTAATCGTGTTCCATCTCCTGATATCGTTAGCTTAGGAGAGCTCTAGACCCAGGAACAAGGATCTGACGTGAAGCTGGCGGCTGGTGTTGGGCCCTACGGCCCTACAGCAAGAAGGATCGTTCATGATTGCAAGGGAAATATAATCTCACATGTAGGAATAACTACATACCTCATGGCTGGATGGATTCTAGATAAAGCGGCTGTGCAGTTGCAAGGGAGCAGCACAGCAGCAGCAGCCGCAGCTTGGAGCAGACGGATAGGATTGCACCCCCAGTACCGTAATTTTAGTTAAGCCCGGCTGTGGCCCGGTGCAGGCCATGCGGCGGGATCCAACCAGTTGGAGCCGGGGCTGTCCGGCGGCTAAATGGCCAAGGGGATTCGATCTGCCGCGGATCAACCAGATCATGGGACATCCTGACCAAAGAGTTAGCTGCAAATAATGGGTTTTTGCTCTCTAGAGTAAACAAAGGACCTGAACTCTGTTGCAATCTATTATACACTCCGACAGGCAGGTGACAGATAACGGTGGTTTGAAAGTGATGATTCTCTCAAAGAGGGTTTCTGTATCGCGCCGGTCGAACCGCTTCCCCGGCATCCCTTGCTTCGTCCCAGCAAAGTATATCAATCTACAGTACAGTACATACTGCAATAGCGTAGGGACCTCGGTTACAATAACTACGCTGTGAACACGAGATGGAAAATCTCTTGTGGCATGTTCGGGTTCTTGCGTGTCCTTTGTCTAAATCATGGCGAAGAATTGACACAAGCAAATAAAGGAACCGAATAGACACAACACAACAGCCACAAACTAATATTCTAGAAAGTGCCATTCATCCGGAACTTTGTTGTCATCTTCAAAAGCTCTCCCGTAATCTATGTCACTTCTTCAATGTGGCACAGAACCAACACAATGCATGCTGAAGAAGTAAGGGTTCCGGGTTCCTACAGCGAAACAGTTGCAGAGTCCACTGCTTAGGATATAGTAGTACATACATACATGGCAGCATCGTTAGAATGAAGTGCCATATATGAAATGGCTGGTCGAATCAGAGAACCAGCTCTATTGTCGGTAAAGATGACCACTTGACCGCTGTTTCCACATCTACTCATAGCACGAATAAGAGAAGGGACTCCGTTCTGTAGGGCTCTGTTTACATGCAACGCCGTCCGATCTTCTTCTAGACCAGCGAGTAATTGTCTGTGGATCTAGACCCTTTGAGGATTATCATGCATTTGACGATAAAAAAAAAGGCATTCTTTGTAGAACCGCGCTACCAGATAGACAACATGTCACCTTACGAAGCGACTGATGTAAGGGTCAAAGGAAGATCTTAACCATGGCCAAATACCGTCTTTGATGTCTTGATTCTATTTCCTCGACGAAGTTCGTGTCGATGATACCTGTCGAGGCGCACCCCGCATCAACCGGGGAGACATTCCTATCACCGCGACTCTTAATAATAGTGGATAACTAACTAGATAAAAATGAAAGCGGAAACCCCATATCAAAAGAACCGGTGATGCGCCAGTGTAGAGTAGTTCCACTCACGGCTGCAGCCTGGAACTACTGCAGGAATGAGACGTGATGGGCTATCCAAGTGTTCAGGGTAAACCTGGTTTATGGACGAACAGGCGTGTCGGTTCGCCAGACGCGGTGGTAGAGCCTGGGACGCGAGCGTATTTTCATTTCTGCCAAATGGAGTTAAGATGGGGTTACAGAGCGGCTCATCCAAGATGTGGAAGGGCTGAGGACCCCAACCGTCCCGGTTCTGCGGGTTAAGTGATCAGGATTCCTTTGCGAGTCGCGCGAGAGCGCGTACGATACCACAGAATATTAGCGGCGGCGCAGAGGCTGCATGGCATCAACAGCAGTATCGGAGGCTGCAGAAGAGCAAGCGTCCGGTATCAATCTGACGCAGCTTGGGAGAGATTAATATTACTGTTCTAGGCGAACTGGCTTTTGAGCCGGATGGGGGGTGATGCGATTAGCGGCCACTGGCTGACCGGTTCTCTCTCTCTTCTGCGACGGGGATCATCCCCCACTAAGTTGTACTGAGCAAGCGTCTTGGTAGTACTACTACTAATTAGATACTCGTCGCGCGCTGAACCGTGGAGGTTTAGAGAGTTTTTTTCAGGAGGCTCCAAGCCGGTTCTTACGAAGGTCCGGAAATCGTGGAGAAACGACTTGTCTACGGTACTGGTGCGCTTGACCCTGAAATAATAATAATAATAATAATTAATTACATACATCCGCACCCTGGAAACGCTCTTTTATTCTCCGCCCAGGGGTCGCGCATCAGGATGATGATGAGCAGCCGCTTGTGGGGGGACGAAGTAGCAGCGACAGTGAATGCATGATATGCTCGAAAGAGGGTCTCTCTCTCCTGAAAGGCTCAGGCTTCCTTTTTTTTTGCGACCGCCAAAACTGGGGCGGTGTCGAGCACTTACCGTGCTGGCAGTCGCTCCGCGTTCAGGCCCCATGAGGCAGACCCTGCCAGGTTCTGACTTTACTACTACTGAGTTCAACGTCCTGCGCGAGTAATCAAGCAGCATTCGGTCGCAGCTTCATGGAGCCACTCGCTGGGATACCCGCGCGTAGATAGTGTAGAACTATTACGCCGTACACAGGCGCGGTCGAGCCAGGCAGTGGTCTTGCGTCCAACTGTATGGGCGTACGAAACCCCCCCGTATGTATTATTGTATACAATAATAATAATACCTGCTCACTGACGTTGGTTTCCATACGCCGGCGCAGAAAGCCCCCCGAGACGGCGGCTCTCCAGCGGCAGCCAATCGCTCTCCCATCCTAGGCTGATGGAGACCAAAACCAGCCAAGCAGCGCTGGTGGTCTGGTACTGGTCCGGGACGAGACGAAACGAGACGGAACCGTACGGACGGCGGTGAGCCTCTTGCCGTACCCGTAATCCGATACCCATACACCCTGACACCGTCACGTCTTACCATACGGCGCGGGCAGCGAACGCTCGAACAGAGAAGGTCCAGGGACCTCAACCTCTCGTCTCGGTTCTCTTGATCTCTTCTCCTTCTCTCCTCTACACCCGCCTGGAGAGAGAAACTCCCTCCTCACCTTTCTCTCCCTCTCCTCCTTCATCTCCGCCTCTTGTTCTCTCCTCCTCTCTTCCTTCCGCCAAAATCTTGGAGAGATCTGAGACTGATCCATTGGCTGTGATCTGTCGACTGGACCATCCGGTTGACACCGCATCCTGCCTGCTGCATCAGTTCTCCAGTCGAGCCGTGTCCGTCAGTTCTGCTCCGACGTTCCCCCCTCTTCGACGCCTGTGAAGCTCTCGTCGAGTCTCCAGTTTCGATTCCTTCCTCTACCCTCGAGTCAACGGTGCCATCGCGTTCCGTAACGATCGACGGTAGTCTTCCTTGTATACAGCTCCTGCCGGTTAGACGAGCGAAATACACAGGAACAGAAAAGAAGGAATTCTTCTTTGGCTGCTTTTTTCCTGGCCTTTTTCGATTTTTCTGTGTATATGATTCGGTGTTGTGTCTTTTGAGAGGTAAGGGTGCCCTCTTTTTTTCCTTGTGTCTGCAATTTTATACCCCCCGCTCCGAGTTCAATCTCGAGATATCATGGCATACCCACCGATCGAGCTTCGAAATGCTTCACTGCGTCCGCCTGGAATATATAATCTGGAATCGGAGATAATTTTTCACCCGTGGTCATGAGTCTTGTCCATCATCGGTTCATCATCCCCTGGGCTGCGGAGCCCCAGAGCTTCATTAAATCGAGCTTCGTCAGCTTTGATATCAGTCTAAGGAAGCCTTGCACATCGAGGATTTGGTAAAGATAACGGTGCATGAGAATTGGGACCGCGCTGGAGGGCATCTCATTCCTTGAAGAGGGAGGTACACGGGTATGCCACTGCGAGACCCGTGTAAGGTAGCGTGTTAGGAAGAAACGTCGAGTAGTCGACGTACCGTTAACTTTAGGCATAGCCAAAGGGCCAGCCGTGAGGTTAACATAAAGGAGGTCGCGACAGGATAGTGGTGTGTGGGCATTCGCTCGGTCGGCTATCTTCTGGGAATGAGAGTCTCAGTCCTCACATACCTCAGTGCACAACGCGCTCTCCTTCCACTCGGACAATATCTTCGACAGACTTCTTAGAGCGCAGTACATGCCGAGAGAATAAGCTAACGCACTCGTCTCCTGCAGAAAGTTTCTCGACCTGTAAAAATCCGCATCGTTTTTTCCCTTGTGGACCATTTTTTCAGCCGTTGAACAGCTCTCTGGACGTACCTATCTCAGGTCTGTACCAGATAATTGAACGACGTGAGTCTTCAAAAGTGTACGTCTTGATCATTCTTCGCGTGCATAATACCTCCCCTGACAATCTGCCCCTAGATAGGGTTGTCCCTGTCCCGCTGGTGTTCCCCACATTCCGCGGCACATACAGGCCTGCACGCCTAAGTTATCGGATCGAAGGGGTGGAGGCGTTGACTCGTGCTTCATCTCTTGACCGGTATCCTACAGCCAGTTCCTCAGGTTCATTCCTGCGTCCTGTCCCAGCCTAGATGCCAGACTCGCCGTCACGGTAAGGGTTGCAACGTGCCCTCTGCCTGAAGGCCTTTATTCTGGGTTAGTACCACTCGTCAAGGAGACCTCCTTCTACCTCGCTTCACTTGCTTTTTAGCCTGGCTGTTCCCTTCATACATGTCCCCTGTATTCCCGAAATCTAATCCTTAGCTTCTAAATACCACCTGCTAATGAGATCCTCGCACGTTCTAGCTTAGGCCAAGCAGACTTATATCTGGGTCCTGGCCACCTTCGACTGCAGTGTGCGGACTATTGTCGACACTGACCTCTCATTAATATTGTTTTCCAACTAATTCCAATCCTTATTTGCATTTTAATTCGACGACTGTCATTCTCTTAATTCCGTCGTTTCCTGATAGACACACCTTGGTGTTTCAGGTCCTCTCATTTCGGAATCTCGACACCGAATCTACCATTAATCTTCGACAACCGGATAACTTATCGGAGGATATTGCAAGCATGGCTTATCAACAACGTCACGCTCACAAATATCAACCGTGCGATAGCTTCTTCGTGGAAACATACGAAGATTTCCCTGCTCCTCACATGGATCCCAAGGAACACGCAAAGCTCATTGCTCGGGAACGTCAATACGCCATGGCAGACGAGCTGTCGAGACAGGCTAGCGAGGAGTACCAGGATGATATCCTGAGCCACATGCTTGAGATGGATGTTAGTTTCCCTTCATATGTGATCTTGGAAGTGAGTCCGTGTTGGTGTCACATTGGCTAACCCCTATTTCTTCCAGACGGCTACGCTTCCCGATGTCGACTCGATTGACATTCAAACGGAGATCCAGTGGTTCATGCGCCCGTATCTGCTTGACTTCTTGATCGAAGCGCACACCGCATTCCAGCTCTTGCCGGCCACTCTCTTCCTGACCATCAACCTCCTCGACAGATACTGCTCGAAGCGTGTTGTGTACAAGAGACATTACCAGCTCGTTGGCTGTGCAGCACTCCTCATCGCCGCCAAGTACGGAGACAAGAAGGACCGTGTTCCCACAATCAAGGAGCTGAAGTCGATGTGCTGCTCTCTGTACGATGACGACATGTTCATCCAGATGGAGTGGCACGTTCTGCAGACGCTGGGATGGACCATTGGACACCCGACTGTCGACAGCTTTCTTCAGATCGCCGTCATCGATACTCCCTACGACCCGGAAGTAGAGCATCTTGCACTGTACATCCTCGAGATTTCCCTCTTCCACCGGGAGTTCGTGTCCAAGCCTTCGGCTGACCTTTCCAGGGCAGCCTTGGCTCTCTCTCGCTGCATCCTGAATCGGCCTCAACCTCGTCACACCGAATGGGCTGCGAACTACGATTCGATGACCTTGGTTGGATTGTCTCAGCAGTTGCATCAACCGTCACAAGTGTTGGCCCGGAAGTACTCTTCTGCCCATTACTCCCGCGTCTCGAAGCTTCTCGAGCAGTTCCTCGCCCGCCAGGCCTCCATTGCCAGTTCGTACACTCCACCTTCGCCGCCTTCGGAAGTCCCAGAGAACTCGAAGCCTTACAACGGAGAGATTGGTTTGGCCACTCCTCAGAAGCAGCAGTATTCTGGAAACATGCCTAATGGATATCTCACCCCGCCAATCACGCCTGAGAATGAGGCATTTACCAACGCCCAAGCGAAGGGGGTAGCTAACCCCTGTCCTCCCTCTCCCACCCCGCCCCCGACCGTCCAATACTCGAATTCACACGAATATCAAGCTGCGCGTTCTTATGGGCAGCAGGCGTACCCTCAACAGCCTCAGGTGGGATTTAGCTCTGCCTTCTAAGCAGAAGCTTCGACATCAGGATATGCGGTGGAACGTTGGAAATCCCGAGCGTATTAAAACTGCGTATTAATCTTGTGGGCCAGCCTGATTCGCTGACCCGCAGCGTTCATACTTAGAGGATCTATGTGTCCCTTGCTATTCTTCTAATCCATGATATCTGGGTGTGCCATTTTTTTGTGCATAGCCTCTGTGCCATAGTTATCCAACCTGAAATACCTGTCTATCATCGAAACGACCTCTGGTCCAAAATCTGTGACCTAGAATCTTCTGGTCGAATCTCGCATATCCCGTTTTTACATACCCCTTTCATTATGTTTTGTTCCCCGTCTTTTGCTGTTTCTTTTTTTACTCCTCACTCCTGTGTCTGTTCTATCACTGGCATTGCAAGCGCGAGTCTTTTCGAGTTTGAAATCAATTCTTCGTGTCTACAATTATTCTTTTTAAAAAATATCTTTGTTCTTGAGCAGTTTTTGTGCGAGCGCGTCCATGTACACTCCTGTGTGCCTAAAGTCCGGCCTTGTCTACTTTTGTTGTACCCCCTCTCTGCAAGATACCATTTGCATTACCGGCCTCGTGGAGGCCAAATTGAAAAAAAGGGGGAGTGGAACAGATTGAGAAAAGCGCACGGACGCCGAAAAACAAAAAAGCATCCGTCTATTAGCCTGTAGGCATTACATTGCACCTGTGTGACCAAAGGGGGAGAGATGAAAACTGTTGCTGTCCGGTGTGGGATGGACTGAGGAAGCAAACCCAGAATGGAAAAGCAAGGTGGAAGGTGAAGATTGTTCATGTACGAGAGTACTAGTACTTCGACAGACAGATAGAAAAATACAAAAACAAGCATGGGTATTGCGAATCATGGTTTCCTACGAGTAAGAAGACTCCGCGTTCTGCAGACCGAGATGGGATATGAGGCCTCATCGGTACCTGACGATCTTCCATTCCACACACATGGATATCGCACCCTGCCGACGGACGGCCCGCGCGACCGTATATATGGTATCGGTTCCGAAGTACTGGCCCTGGAGTACCATATCTACATGACTGGAATGCAACTTCGCGCTGTATGTACCTGTCAATCCTCTTCCATCCCTTGCGGTTTGTTCTTCGTGTTTCCACGGCATGCAATGCACAGTCATATAGCAGCTGGCATCGCGACGCGAGCTGATTGATATCTTCAGCTCGGTCTGGACGGCCAGATCTGCTCATCCATCAAAGGAATTTTTTTGCTCAGAATGCTGCCATCTATTTACCTTGCAGTACAAAGGACCATACTTCCACTCCAACGAAGGACGAAGGACGAAAGGATGACTGGGAAAGCTCTGGTCCCCGATGTCCTGATTGGGCCATCGACAGACCAGCGAGGCCGTGAAGATCTCGGGTGCGTTTCTGCAGCCGGTCCTCGTCCCTAAAGCCAACCATCATGTCTTGTGAGCGGACATCGCTTCGACCGTAGGATGATTTCTGATTGCTGACTGCCTCATCCCTATCTAAGTAGAAACTGCCGGGCAATCCTGCATTATTGAGTCAGTTCGCCGGTGCTCGCCGCCAAGAGCAAGTGATCTTCATCCATCGCCTGTTTCCAAGCCAAAGCTTAAGGATGAAGCTAAGGAGGATCGTGGATCCACCGGTCCTCACGATCCTTCAGCCAGCCAGCCATCGAGGAGTTCTTCACGAACACCACTTGTCATTTATTCTTCTTCTCTCGACGGGAAGACCTCGGTCTCATCGCGGCCCCACGCTTGCTCCACGGTTCATTCGTCCTTATGATCTCGTGCATCTTGAAATCCTAGTCTAGTCGGGGGTTCGCAGGGCAGCATGCAGGATCATGGATGAGACATCGAACCGCTGAGCCATGCGTCGACAAGACAAGAAAAGCTCTTTAAACACTGGTGATAGATATGTAACATCTGAAAACGAGGGCATCTTCCCTTTATCTCCCTATCCCTGAAACCCTGAGCAAGAACAGCAACTGCACTCCTCGGGAACCCTTCGAAACGATCTTTTCCGCAGCTGGACGCATCATACTGCACGTGTCCGCGGCACCCTTAGACGTTATATCATCGCAGTATACCATGTCGAGTGGCCAGGATTGGTCCTGTAAGCTGAGTAAACCGGGTTAACAACAGCGAGTTCAGCGTTTCTCGGCATAGGCTGTAGCTAGGATGCCCCCCTCCGAGCATCATCCATCACTTCACTTATAAGCATCGTTAAAACGGGCGCGGGAGAAGGCGGGACCGGGCTCCAGCAGGACTGCCGAATAGACAGTCAAATCCTTTTCGTTGCTTTCGCCGTTCTTCACAGGCCCGGCGATCTCTTGGCCCCAAAAGTCTCCGAATGACAACGCGACATTGCCTCCTGAGTCGGTAGCCGATGGCCTTCGAGAAGACCCCGATGTTCCCCGTTCGGTTGCCGTGATTGCTAGTGATACAGATATTATTATCGCTCACTCGCCCACATTGCCAGACAGTACTTCGTAGTCAACTCAACTCTGCGTTGCTCAGTCCAGTGATGATGGTGTCGCCCGCTCGTCCTGTCCAGCGTTGATAAAGAGTTCAACCGGACAATACCTCTGTTCCTTAGTGCCTGTCTTTTTTGGCGACCATTCTCGACTGCGAAAATCTCAGGATGGCATCAGAATCCGATACGGAAGATTCGTCTTCGATCTTTACACGAACGACGGCGCCGACGGAATGGGATTCAGCAGACCAGATGGATCCTCGAGATGATGATAGCTTCTCCATTGGGACCTTGTATGTGCAGCCTCGCGCTATCATTCTGTAAAGCTCTGGGCGCAACTGCATCTGAATCAGCACGGGCCTTGGCTCGTAGTCAGTTAGCTAACAACGTATTCTCACACAGTGGGGAGGGGTCGACGTACTCTCTATCGTCGAGCGTTCTCAATTATCAGTACGAAGTATGATAGTCTAATTGAAAAGAGCCATTAACTACCACCCGATCGCTGACGAGCGCAATCCTTACAGCATGGGAGACGATATCATGCCTATCACGAGGGGAAGTATATAATGGTACTTTTGAACACCATCCGCGGGAAACGAGGATGATTCGTTTGCTAACGAGGCAATCTAGCCGAATGATGACCAAGAGCAAAACAAGCTGTTCTTGGTATGTCTTTCTGATCCGCCTTCTGCTTCGCGCGTTACACTAACTCTGGGGAAGATTCACCTTATGCACGAACTCGCATTTGATGGTAGGCTCCATCTTGCGCCGATATCCCCCGATCCGCAGAATGTCCTAGACGTGGGGACAGGCCGTGGAGATTGGGCGATCGATTTCGCAGAGTATGGATTCTCTTCTTCGTTTCGAAATGTATTTTCGAGAAAAGAATATAGTAGACTGATTGCGCATGCGCTTACAGGAATTATCCCTCTGCCAGGGTGATTGGCACCGATCTTAGTCCTATACAGCCATTATGGTATGTCTTGACTGTCCACTGAACGATGTCTGCATTTGTCGCAAAGGAAAACTGATTGAAAGGAATAGGGTACCTCCGAACTTGACCTTCGAAGTCGACGACGCCGAAGATGACTGGCTATATACGCAGCAGTTTGACTACATCCATACGCGCACTCTATGCGGAGGTGTTCGTGACTGGCCGCGCTTCCATCGACAAGCATTCGAACACCTGAAACCAGGAGGCTGGCTGGAGATGCAGGAGAATGACGCTTGGTTTCAACGCGAGGATGGCACAATTCCAAAATGGTCGAAGATGTTCCTCGAAAAACTGGACGAGGCTAGTATACTCAACGGGACGCGATTGAATGTGGCCAGGGATCAGAAGCAGCATATGATCGATGCGGGTTTTGTCGACGTGCAGGATGTAATCATCAAGGTACGTCCTGCAGTTTACTATCCTATCCCTACTATCTAGAGGAGCCATTCACTGATCTTCTGTGATGTGCAGCTACCGCTCGCTCCCTGGCACGAGGATCCAAAGATGAGAGAAATCGGCCGAATCCGTGGACAAGCGATGAACCAGGGCGTCGAAGGCTACAGTCTTGCCCTATACACCCGTCATCTAGGTTGGAGTCCAGACGAAGTTCGGATCCTCCTTGCAAAAGTGCGCAGCGAATTTAACGATCTGAACAATCGCATGTACATCGCAGAGTGAGTTCTCTTTCTCAAATGGACGATTCAGATTCGTTTGAGATACTAATTCGCCCTTCAACAGACATGTCGTCTTCGGTCGCAAACCGGAAGACGCACCTGATACGCGAATTTCCAGTTGATCGACTTCTCGGACCCTACCGTCCTTGCTCATTATGACACTCAATCTCGAAGCGTTTGCAAAAAAAGAAACACCACACTACTGCGATGGTATATAACCGCAAGTGCAGTCGATGAGCGGATCTACACCAAAAACAACCCCCTATTCTTCCCCTTCCCCCCGGGTTTTTATGATACCAAATCTCTCTTCTTTCTGACTATGTTTTATTACCCTCAAACCCATATGTTTCATTTTTGGTTTCCGGGGACCGCATTTTGGTAGGGATTCGAGCTGGAAGAAAATGCGGCAAGGGTCAAAAAAGAAGAGCATGCACTCTGCGCATAACGGCCAACCTGCGCATTATCACTACGCTCTTTCTTTTATTTTATTCTCAACACACCTTCATGGGCGGTGATTTGCTCTACAACATTGGCATGGCGCTGGGAATGGTTTCGGGAATTTTTGGAAAAGAGGCCATAGCCAGGGATATGAATACGAATTAGCGTAAATGGATTGATATGGAATGGAATGGATGGTTTTTATTTGATATAATCTTTTGGAATTTCTATAACTAAGGGGTCCCTTGGATTCTATTTTCGGGTCAAATTATTATAGGGAAGAGAAAAAAAGAAAGGAAGAAAGGAAGAACTGAGTGAGTAATTAGTTACTTCTCGCTCCTCTTGTATCTTTGTTTCAGGAACGTATAAATAGTCGAGCTGATTATTGATATATCTATTTTGGTGAATTTGATTCTGGTTTAACGAAGACTAGCTACATGTAGATTACAATCTAGTTAGTTAATCCTGTTGCCTAGTAAGCTAGTTATGTTTTTATGTCAGGGTATATTTATTTCATTGGATCTTCGTTGGAGGCGTGTCACGAGTAATTCCTCTCTTTCTCTTTCTCTTTCTCTTTCTCTTTCTCTTTCATTTTTCCTTTTCTTCTCAAGAAAGAAGCTATTATTATTTAAACCGCACAAAAAAAAAAAAAAAAAAAAAAAAGACAAGCATCTAACTATGTATCTAGACTGAAGTCGCCGATAGGTATTATTATAATCTATTCTATATAGTTCCCAGCAAAAACTAGTGGGAGAATAAAGCAAAAGCAATCAAACCAGGGTAGGTATGTAACTGACAGTTCCTTCATCGTCCTGAGAGACAAGGGTAAGGGGTATGTTATTAACCATTATCCAATAGAATTAACTTGACTTGCTTGTTTGGACACTCAGGGCCGATATAAAGGGCCGATATAGCTAACTGCCGTAGAGGGGCTTCCCCGCCTGCCTTGCCCCTCTCTCTCTAGACTCTCGTAGGGTAGCGGGAGAAGCCGATCCAGGTTCCTTTTTTTCTTTCTTTTGCATTGGAAAGGAAAACACGATGATATATATCTCATCTACAGACATATAGACAGCTGAGCTATGCTATGATCGTCAACATTGACGAAAAACCTAGCTAACCTTGTGGGTTGTTGTAAGGGATATGGTGATGATCTGATCAAAGGTGGGATCCCCGGTCTCCGTCCGAATTATTGAGAAAAAGAGGCGGCTAGGTAGAAGACCGAGAAGTCCCGAATGATGATGTGAGATGCTGCTTGCAGTAACTAGTTAGTGTGGCTACTTTGGCACAAAAAAAAAAAAGTCTAAAACAAGATCTTACATGCACATGCATTTTTTCAGTGTTGCGTTGCACATGCGGTGTATATGTGGAGAGGGTGGACTTTGTTTCTGGGGTTCCGGTTCCTTTTAAGTATCGAGGATGGACAGAGCCTTCATATAGATAGATAGATAGATGGCAATATACCATACTTATCCACTACGATGAACTTCCCGTGGATGCCAAGAACAATTGATACGCCTGTCTGATGTGCATAGACGGCGTGGAGACTGAAGCCGATATTAGTTAGTTAGATTAGCTTAAGTAAAGAAGAGCAAAGCAAGTTCGAAGTGGGGGTTGGGTTTCCCTTGTCGGCCCGCAATAATCAAGTGGAGGAATAAATAACAATTGATAGGAGATCAAGAGGTAAATATTAAATAGGCCCCCTGGTCTCCTCTTCTTCTTGACTTTGTGAGATCGTCATCCGGTTGGTGTGCTCGCCCGTACGTATACTTATAATATCTATTTATCTGCTTCCTCTGCTCTCTCTCTCTCTCCCTTCATCTTTCCGGTCGCGCCGCGAATACGGACCTCCTCTTCTTGCCTGTCATTCTGCTGGGCTAACACAGAGAGGTAAACCCCAGTTTCCATGCCATTTCATTGTTGCGGAATTGCCTCCAATCGGCTTGGATGAAGCGATCTAAACTGACATGACAAGACGGACATCAGATACTTAGGAGCTCCAATCATCATGTCGAAGGCTCAATCCTTGAGCGCTCAATGCGAAGATATCCTTGCATCTATCAAGGAATTCGAGAAAACAGACCAGACGGACCGCGCACAACGGTTGAGGCTGGTGCAGTCTCTCAACAAGCTCACGCATCGCTTGAAGGATCCTAAGGAGGCTATATTCGATCATTTCACCAACGTATGCCAATCATCGTCTCGCTGTTTTTTTCCTTTCCCGTCAATAATGTGCAAGGTTATGTTGGGTCAAGCGATAAAAACTTATAACTATATACTATTGTCTTTGATATCATCGTTCTCTCTTATGAAGTGGACGATGGATCTTTGAGATATAAGAACACAACTGATCGATATTATTATCTGTATCATAGTTCGTTGAAACATGCAATCTGCGTGGTCTCTTGGAGCTTCGTGTGCCGGAAAACATTCCTCGAGAGGGAAGCATCTCCGCAAAGGAGCTAGCAGCCAAAGTCAAGGCCGATGAAGCACTCATTGGTGAGTTCCCTTGAAGGAGTTGCATCTAGGATCTGCGGATAGGATACTCATGGATGTTAATTAGTACGTCTAATGCGCATTACCACTGTAACGGGAATATTCGACATGGTCGGTCCGGATGAATACGCGCATACTCCTTTCTCCCTGGCATACCTGGACGGGCACGAAGTGGACTTCTTCAAGCTCATGTGAGTTTTCCATTATCATCAGTGGCAGAAGGCGGCGGCTATTCTAACAGATTGAGCACAGGTGCGATGAGATTTTGGTGAATACATCCAGACTCCCGGAGTATTTCAGAGAGGTCGGTGGCAAGGATACGACAAGCATGACGAGCAATCCCTTTACATGGGGTAACGGGCAAGATGGCAAGACGTTTTTCGAGATTATTTCCCAGGATCCAAGGCGCATCAAGCAGTTTGATGTTGCCATGTCGACTCAGGATTTCGTCCTTCCCGTCCTGGGCATGTATCCTTTCGGTACAGAGCTGGCCAATGTGCCCGACAGGGAGACACGACCGTTGATTGTGGATATTGGTGGTGGCAGAGGGCAGTCATTGTTGCAGATCAAAAATGAATGGCCGGAGTTGCAAGGAAAATTCATCATCCAGGACCGCCCACTAGTTTTGGACTCTTACCCGGAACTTCCAGGCATCGAGAAGATGGCACATGACTTTTTCACTCCACAGCCGGTTAAACGTAAGTAGTACATAAATGAACCAAGACTGGAAGTGAGAGATAGGTCGACGATGCTGACGTATAACTACCAGATGCTCATGCTTACTATATCCGCCGCTGCTTTCACAACTGGACGGACGCTCATTGCCTGAACATCCTCCAGCAGATAGTCCCTGCCATGGCGCCTGATTCACGAGTCCTGATAGGAGAAATGGTGGTCCCCGAGTACGGAAGTGAACGACCAGGCGGAGTGGAGGATATGGCCCCGTACTGGATGGATCATGCCATGTTCACCTTTGGAGGCCGAGAGCGAACCGAGACGGATTGGAAGAAGATGTTCGCAAGCGCTGGGTTGAAGCTGGTGAAGATCTGGCGTAGCCAGGCAGGAAGCCAGACAATTCTTGAGGCTAGACTGGTGGCATGATCTTGGTGGCCAGTGCAGGACTGCCTAATGACTGTATGATCTTAGAATGTGTCAATATACGATTTGTGACCTTTGCCCCTTTCCGTCCACTCGGCGAGGATATCGCATGTACCTCACGAGATCTCAAGATGACCAAATTGGCGACGTCGAATGGGGCGTGAGCCTGTGCAAATCCCTATGATAGACGATCAGATGAGGCTTGCTTGCGGCTGAGGCTCGCCATGACCGCTAGCTGAAACTATATCACGCCTTCCCTTCTGCTCTGGTTCCCTTCCCGAGGTATCCTCCTATACTCGGTTCTCGATGAGACCTCAAAAGTCCTAAGCGCCATGTCAGCATTGTTGTCCATGTTATTAACCAAAATAATTGCTCTGCTCTGGGAGCTATTACTGTTATATGTTAGGACAACGGTGAAGGATGGTGCATTATCTTTAGGCGTGAGCCTATATTGTGTCTGTATAAGTATCTAGTCTCGTGGTCCCCATCTTGCGGAGTTAAAAGTACAGAAACGATGCTGTAGACAGGAGCCGATGATGACATCAATAGTAAACAACGCAGACAGATGTACTGCGCATGTTGCCTTGATGGACCTTTGACGCCCAAGCAAAAGGAGAGTAATACATGCAAAAAAGCACCGAGTAAATCACAAACACCTTTCAACACCTCAACCCGGTGCGCTGGCCCAGCCAGTCACCCATTATACATGTCACTTTCGGCCAAAAAAGCATGACAAAACCAATAGGATACAAAAAAAAAAGGAAAGCCTCTCATGGACCTGTGCTCATGACAGATCTTATTCGCTGTCTGGATAAGGCTCAACCAAGTAATTATCCAGGAAGGGTCGGAGCACATATACACCAGTGAGAAAGACACAAACAAACAAACAAGGGAAATGTCAAGGGGGCGGGAGTCTCGTATGTGTTGCGCCTTGTGTCGCTCATAATAAACAAGGTATGATGGAAGCAGCAGGAAACCGAATAGCCGCAAAAAGAAGATATTAGAACACCGACTCCGATATTCGTACAGGGATGGTACAAGATCAAGACGTTTCGGCAGTGGTGCGACACGGACGGCAACCAAGGATACCGGGCATTTGCGGACGAGTTGGCGGGAGACTGTAATCGTAAAAATGCAGGCGGACAAGCGAGTCGGTCAAGGCCCAGAATGTTCCGTTAATATCCGCCAATAATGGCTTCATCTGGAGGGTTGTGAAAGCCACGGGAATCCGTGCGTCGATCTTCCGCCTCACTTTGTCCGGGGCAAATCCCCCAAAGACGCGCGGAAACCAGCGGGCCCGCGACAAATAGTCTCTCCAGTCCGCCTATTCCGCCAGGTCACCCAATGATAGCGGCCGCTGCGCGTCGCATGCTTTCTGCCCAGGACGGAGGAGAAGCTGTTTATCTCCACCGCGACATGTCGACAGGCCGCTGCTCATAGCTGGGACCTCCCCCGTTATGGACAACGACGACCCTGCCCGGGGAGCTGCGAGGCGGTGGATTCGAGCCTGTATCAGAACGTTTCGGGTTAGCTTCAGATACTTTCGGGTCGAGGCTGCAGAGGACCAAGGGCAGCGGGCCCGTCCATTTGGGAGTTGGGACGTACCTCGCACATCAGTCTTGATCTCCCCGGTGCTACCTTTACTGCCCTTGCTGGAGGCAGTAGAGTTGGACGGGGCAATCTTGTCCATCATGTTGGATATGGTAGACGGAGTATCAATGACGATAAGGTGAGATAAAGAAGGAGTATCGGCGGAACAGTCACCCAAGATGCGATCAAGGTAACGAGGAGGTCGGCAATGGGAAGTCAACTGTCACAGATGGTTGATTTCCAGGGAAGATCAGGAGAACGTAGAGATAGATAGATCAGGCAGTTATCAGGCAGATAAGATCTTCAAAGTATGATTAGAAGGTGGCTGAGCAAGGCAGTCACAGAGGCGGATGGAGGGTTTATAGCAACGAGGATGATGGTTGAAATGACTCTTAAAGTTCTGATGATGGTCTTTGAGACTGATGGAGACAAGAATAGACTGGAAACCAGCAGCCTTTTGTATGATTCTCAGAAGTGAAGGCATCAATGGAATGCACCATAGAACTCCGTCGTTGATCGCGCGGTGCAAGACTATCCCCGCTGACTATCCCAGGCCTGTGGGGGAGCAGCCTGTCCAGACCCGACGTCACCGACCAGAGACAGGGCAAAGCAACAGTAGGGATGGCATGGAGAAGCGGTCGAGAGAGCGCGAGTCCATGGGATCCCGAATCTGGTATGAACGATCGTTGAGTTTAGTTTAGGCAAAGTAAAGTCAAGTCAAGTCGACGGTTTGGGCCCTGAGCTGAGGCGTCCCGAATCGGATCTGACACGGCCTGGTCGACCAGGGGCCAGCACGACCCCTCGAATAATAGTTTTCCCGTGACGCTCATCGCCTCTGTCCCTTTCTTCTTCTGCTTCTTCTTTGGTTTCTTTTTTTGGGCCTGTTCTGGGGATCTCTTTGGGCGTAGTTGCGAATTGGCAGCGCCTGGGACCACACACGGGAACCGTCAGGGCTGCGACGGGGGGCAGGACTATTGGAGCAGAGACACGCCAGGCTCCCAAAGCCGTTCAAGGCAGCAAACCGGAACAAAGATCACCGTCCCTCCACGGAGACTGAGACAATCGATCATTGCCTGTTTCCCTCTCCAACCAGATGTTAGAGGGCAATAGACTGTGGACGTGGATGGACAGCTGTGGATGCACACTGGATGGTCAATGTTGGAACTGTTGTTGCCTGGCCTGATCGGGTTAAGCCCAATGTCCAGTGACTTTTCCATTATTGCTTCCACCGCTTCAACTGCTGGCGATCTCGTTTCTGCTAGACTATCATCTATTGGGACTACGCTTAGGACGTGGCCCATCTGCATTCCATCTGCAGTTTCATCTGGTTGGCAGTCGACGTGGTACTAACTCACTCACTAGTAGTCACTACTGTCAGGGACAGACGATTCTCACGGCCTTGATGCATCCTCAGCTGGCCCTGAATGGCTCACCCCTGACGCCCAAAGCTCAAAGCTCCAAGATGGAGTCTAATTCTGGATTGTCATCTGTCTATTGGGGAATCATCAAGTTGGCCGCAGAGCCTTGTGCGATCCCGGATCGCTTCCGGTCTCCCAAGTGATCCCGAAAAACAGACCTTCTGGCTTACTTACAACAGAAGATCGGGACAGACCATTTGGGCGACAATAATCCCACCGCATTTCCTTGCCTCCTCCTCTATCATGCCCAAAGCAAAGGGTCCCTTTACAACGACAAGGCTGATGGAGCTTCATAAGCCACACAGGGGAGAGCCAACCAGGTCGTGCCAGCTTGACGAAGCCACTGCTTCTGGCAGGATGTTGTTATTATTGGTCAATATGCTCTCTAACGGTGTGTTCGCTACTTGTTTCACAGGCGCCTTCTGGCGCCCTTCTAGACCTTCCAGATGCCCCCAGTTTAACCACGCTCCCCTAGGCGACTTGAGGATCTCAGATGCCGAGGGTAGAGGGCGGGGGATCTAACGCTTGCACAGGCCGCTTCTAACCACCGCGGCACCGCCTGAAGCACCAGCTACGGAGTAGTCATGGACAATCTTCGTTGACACGAAACATCGTCTCCGCCTTCCTTTCCCTTTGTGTCTTAGAAAGAACAAACCCCTGTTCTATCCTTGTCTGCGTGGAGGGTTCTCATATCGACGAATAAAAACGGGAGATTTAACAAGCGATGCAAGCTGGAGATTCCCGCTGCCTCGCCCAGACCGGAAAGCGCTCCCCGATGCTCTGCACACCGTTGGAAGCTCGTTCAGGGATTGCAGTCGTGCAGCTCTGCTGTGCTATCTATTCACATTGGGACCAGACCACCGAGTCTTGGGCTTCTAGACCTTCTACGGCTTCTCCACGATGGCTACCGCCAGTCCTCTCCGTTGTCTTCGTAGCGCGTATCGCGGAAGCAACGAAGAGCTTCAACGGGTTGACGCTTGACTTACTTACACTACCTTAGATCCATGCAGGTAGCCGTTAGAGGTTCTGCTTCCATATGTACTCCACATCGTGACCCCAGAATTCCTATCCGTAGACTCCGGGGTGGTATGTTGATATAGCCGATGCCTTTAACGTCTCTGATGATCCACTCTTTCCCGCTGTCAGTGAACCTTGGGGTATCTCGGTAGTGCTACTATCCTGATCTCTCTTCTGTCTCGGTAGTCATTGCATCGATAGCAGCAATACAGTTCCTCGCCTCATTTTGATTCGGGACCGCCCGGATGTTGCGGTAAGTCCTCAGGCAATGGATCTTTTGACGCAATGCAGAGTCTAGAACCAATGGCTATCTGACATTTCTGCAGCCAATAGCCTTTTAGCTTGTCTCAGAACATATCTATCTACAAATCAGTTAGAGGCTCAGATTTAGAACTGGAAAAGAAAGAGATAGTAAGTATAGTATGCGCACATCAGTCCCCATTAAACATGATAGTCAAGACTCTAAGTCCATATTCTCTGTTGCAATGTCTTTGATGACGCGTATAACTATGTCCTTTTGTGTCCTGATTCGCCGCCAACCAATCCTTTCCCGGGAATGTATGTACTCTACGGAGTACATGTTACTATACAAAGAAACAATCAAAGACCACTCTTAAGACTCCAGTACCATAACTAGTTATCCCCTATCCATCAACGATTTTCATATCCTCCTCCACTTAGTTATCTACCAGCCCATTCGTACCATGTCTTTCCTCTCCCGATTTCTCCCGTCCGTACGGAGTAAGAAGGGGGCACAGGCCTCGCCTAATTTAGAAACCTCCAAACAAACAAGTCGAGGTCCGTACTCTCGTAGTAGCCAGCACTAAGTAAACTAGACCTACGGAGTATCTATGATTCTAGTCCGAGTAGATAGTTACCAACCCACATAGTTACCGAACAACGGTGTCTGTGCTCATGCCCCAGCACCAGCACCAGCACCAGTACGTACCAAGATAGATAGCCTAGCCTAGATAGATACCTAGTCTACGAGTAACTTACGACCAGACCAGACCTACCCGAGCAGGTATGTATTACTAACTAGATAACTAACTAACTACGGAGCATCTAACTATCTAGACTTAGAATAGATATGTGTCCTCTCCTCTCCCCTCCACTCCACTCCACTCCGCTCCCCTCTAAACTCCTCCCGAACCGATCAACATCCCCCACCAATCTTCAAGTACCGCAGCGATGATCCCTTCTAGAACCAGACGTGGGAACATGCAAGAAAGACAAGGCAAGGTCTAGCCATGATGATCGTCCTGTCTGGACTTTGAATTCGACTTCGGTCTTGAACTTTGGAGTAGTTAGATATATTGGCAATTGCGAATACGACTCCATAATGGTCAACTAACTAATACTAATG